CCCTGCAGCTCCAGCCATCTCTCGCTCAGGCTTGTGTGGTGCTGCCACTGGTTCAGCTCACTCCCCTCTCCCGCTACCACTTTTCTAGGATGCTCACATACCACTTGCCAGGTGCCAATGTACCACAGGTGGTACCCATACCACTGGTTGAAAAGCCCTGTTCTAGAGACTCAACATCTTTTTTTATATTGTGGTGACCATAACTGGATGCAGTATTCCAAGTATGGTCTTACCAAGACATTATAAAGTGATATTAATATTTCATGTGATTTCTGTTAATGTAGAATGCTAAATAAAATTGGGAAAACTATGATACTTGGTGTATCTTATTAAGTTTCTTCATCCTCTTTCCTTCCTTCCTTCCTTCCTTCCTTCCTTCCTTCCTTCCTTCCTTCCTTCCTTCCTTCTTTCTTTCTCTCCTTCCTTCCTTCCTTTCTTCCTCCCTCCCTCTCTCCCTCCCTCCCTTCCTTCCTTTAACAATCCTATGAGGTAGACTGCACTAATCATGAATGACATATACTTGTAATGAATTCACACAATGAATTTTCATGACTGGTGGTGGACAACGTGGGTCTCCCAGTCCTACTTTAACAATTACACCGTAGTGGTTCCCATTCAGTATGAGCCTGTGGATAAACTTACATTGGAATATTTTATAAATAAAATAATTATAACTTAAACATTTTAAGTTCAAAAAATATCTGATACAATCCATTTACCCACCTCCAGTTTATTTCCAATGGTCCTTTTATGACAAAGATGTGAATGACTGACACATACACACATGCACATACACACACAAACACACACACACATCAGCTATATTTATTTGCTAAATAAATAAATGTCTATGAATATCTCATCCTTTTCTTCCTTAAAATTCAGAAATATAGCAGATTTTTTCCACTAACATTTCATTCCCTTTCTACAACAAAAGTACACCTAAGATTCAACAAACATGTTTATTTTTCAATGCTGCAGATAATTATTTGAACCATTGACTCCTTTATTATTATTAAATCAGCCATAATTATTATGCCTTCTATTTCTTGTCTTTGGGGAGTTCAAGTGACTGTATGCAAAACTAGACAGCAAAGCTGGGGGAAAAATTATAAATAGTCCTTATTCTTTCCTCAGCATGTGCTTTAGGAGCACCAGATTCTGAAATCTTCATTTCCAGCTCTTTTTTTTTTCCTTTTTAATTGGCTGAGAAAATTAGAAAAGTATGTCTTCCCTCTATTGAAAATATGAAATATGGAAATATTCTTATTATATGGATTCATGTTACTCCCCCAGGTAGTTGGTAGGAGCACTATTGTGCAGTGTTTCATCAAAAACCCTATTCCCGTACTTCACAAGTATTATGAACCAGGGGATCTTATAATTGGAGGCATCATGTCCCAGATTTATGTATTTTCAGAAGTCATGAACTTTGACAAAAATCCATTTCAGAGCTCTCCAAGTGGTCTTATGTAAGTAGCTAGACTTCAAAACAAAACAAACTATATCGATGGATACATTATTGTCTTTGTTTTGTTATTGCTCCTAATGTTTCCATTGATACTTAATAGCTAGACCTCTTATGAGGTCTCCTCCTCCTCCTCCTCCTCTTCCTTCTTCTTCTTCTTCTTCTTCTTCTTCTTCTTCTTCTTCTTCTTCTTCTTCTTCTTCTTCTTCTTCTTCTTCTTCTTCTTCTTCTTCTTCTTCTCCTCCTCCTCCTCCTCCTCCTCTTCCTCCACCTTCTCCCTCTCCTGCTTCTGCTTCAGATATCAAGGCAGATATAAAGTTCTGGATCTTGTTCTTCTGGCAAGCATTGTTATTTGAGGTAGTACTCATAAGGTAGTTAATTTTTTTTTTTAGTTTTTATAAAGTCTAGGATATTTCTACTTTTCCTCAACTGCAGTTAATAAAAGCCACTGGCATGAGTATTCTCTAATGTCTTGCTCAAAAGTTAAACAGAGTCAGGCTTGATTGTAGTTGAATGAGAGACTTCCCACAAAGGTAAAACCTATGAATTAGGCTTGGAGATAAATAATAAGCCATGGCACACAGCAAGTCAATAAAGTCTCCAATGAACATATTTATAGTTCTAGCTTTTATGCCCTCCTCTTTGGCTACTTGGGTCTCCTAGTGTCCTAGAGAATTTAAAAGATAAATCTCTCACTAGGCAAGAAGTCCCATCATCTTTCTAATGGGGCTTATATCCCACCTTTGGGATCATTGAGAATTTTTATGTTTAAGGTTTAGTTATAGGGTTACAATTATGGTATTAGAATTTTTGAAGGTTTTTTTTTCAACTCTATATTCCATTCAGCATGCTTAGCTTAAGAAGGTTTGGTCTTGAGATGAATTGCTTAAGTAGACTTAGGTAGACTTACAAGACATGAGCCATTTCTATACACTTTCTTAAATATTTTTAGAAAGGAAGTATAGTCAATGGCCTAATGTGAAGGCATGATTATATTGCACTATGCCATTCTCATTGCAGGACACTGATTCAGAGTTACCAACACATCCTGGCTTTGGCATTTGCTGTAAAGGAGATCAATCAAAATCTCCAGCTTTTACCCAATATCACCTTGGGCTTCCATATTTATAACAGTCATTTCAAAGCTTCCTGGACCTATCTTGCTTCATTGGAACTTCTTTTTAGGAAGGGCCAGTTCATCCCTAACTACAAGTGTAATACCAGGAATGTTTTGCTAGCAGTCATTGGAGGTGCTCATTCACATGTCTGCCTTCACATGGCAACCATCCTGTCTGTCTTTAAGATGCCACAAGTAAGATCAGATTTAAAACAAATTGAGTTGGCGCCTAATATGATGTCATGGATAGGGTCCTTGATCAGGATGGAGGAGACACAGGTTCAAGTTCATGTTCGCCCATGGAAAGCTAACTGAGTATCTATTGACTATTTACTTGTGTTTCAGCTCTTATTGGTTCACAGGTATATTGTTGTGATGGGAATGAAAATTAAAGCAGCAATATGATATCTGATCCTTTGAGCTTTTGGAGGAAAGGGAATAAATCAGAGGAACATGGAGCTAAAATCTTTATCATCCATTTCAAGTTATAAATGGAAATTCACTTTGCAACGTTTTTCTCTTGGAAGAGAAAAGGGAAGGGTGGGGGGAGGAAACAGAATGCACGAGAATGACAAATTCTGAGTACAGTTGATATTGAAAATTGTTTCTTCCTCCTGAAATTATTTCTTCTTCCACCTTTTTCCATTCAGGTACAATTTTCTTCTATGTAGAAATATTACAGACAGCTCTGTATTAGCTAACCATTTAATAAAGCAATACAGCTATACAGACAGTCCCCAGCTTAAGACCACAACTGAGCTAAGTGTTTTGTTTTGTCCCATTTTACGATCTTTCTTTCCACAGTTGTTAAGTGAATCACTGCAGTTGTTAACAACATGGTTGTTAAGTGAATCTGGTTTCCCCATTGACTTTGCTTGTCAGAAAGTTACAAAAGGTGATCACTTGACCCCAGAATACTGCAACCATCATAAATATGATCAATTGCCATGATATTTAATCAAATGACCATGGGGAATGCTGCAATTGTAGCAAGTGTGAAAAATAATCAGAATTCGCTTTTTTCAGCCCTGTTGTAACTTTGAATGGTCACTAAATTGTTGGACGTTGAGAACTACCTATAGTTCATCTTGATTTGGAATGTTTTTTTTTTAAATGATGCTTCATAATTTCAGTCTCCATTCCATGATAAAAAAAAAAAATCAGGATACCTCAAATGAGTCTAAGTGCATTCCACTATCTCTACATGGAAAAAGCTGCTCCAAGTTTTTTCTAGCATTAATGTGCTTCAGACATACCACTCTGTGTATACTATAGAACATGGAGGAGGGGTGGGCACTTAGAATTCACTTATAATCTTAGCACATTCACAGAAATAAATAAATCTCTGCACCTTCATGATTCGTAAATGAAATTGCTGAAAGCACTGTTTGAAATTGTTCAGCTTATGCTACATCAGATTTCAATTAGTGGATAATTGAAAGGCTAAGGTCAAGCACAGGAAATTAGGAGTCGAGGCAGTTCAAATGAATATATAGGTTTATTGTATGCTACAGCTCTCTAGAAAAACCTGAAATACTAACTGTCAAAGTGAATTGGCAATAAATAAGAGTCAATGGAATTTAACCATTTTATAATGCCTTGGTAAGGCCAAACCTGGAATAGGGTATCCAGTTTTGGTCACCACAATGTAAAAAAGATGTTGAGATTCTAGAAAGAGTACAGAGAAGAGCAACAAAGATGATTAGGAGATTGGAGGCTAAAGCTTATAAAAAATGGTTGCTGGAATTGGGTATGTCTAGTTTAATGAAGAGAAGGACTAGGGGGGTGACATGATAGCAGTGTTCCAATATTTTGGGGTTGCCATGAAGAAGAGGGAGACAGGCTATTCTCCAAAACATCTGAAGGCAGGACAAGAAGCAATGGATGGAAACTAATCAAAGAAAGAAGCAATCTAGAACTAAGGAGAAACTTCCTGACAGTGAGAACAATTAATTAATCAGTAGAACAACTTGCTTCCAGAAGCGGTGAATGCTCCAACACTGGAAGTTTTTAAGAAGAGACTAGACAACCATTTATCTGAAATGGTATAGGATTTCCTGACTGAGCAGGGGGTTGAAGACCTCCAAGGTCCTTTCCAACTCTATTATTATTATTATTATTATTATTATTATTATTATTATTATTATTATTATTGTTGTTGTTGTTGTTGTTGTTGTTGTTGTTGTTGTTGTTGTTGCTGTATTTAGATCTATTGTGGGCACAAAAGGATGCAAAACTAATGGTGCATTTGATCCCTCCCTCAGGCTCAGCCTAGTCATCTCCTACATCAGATAAAAATACACATATTATATTTTAGACTTATGTCTTCCTCTCTTCTCTTTCTAATGTCTACAGATCAGATATGGCTCTGCTCCAGTGATGAATGAACAAACTCAAGCTGTCTTCTCCCATCAGATGTTTCCAAACCGGGCCGATCAGTATAATGGGATTCTCCAGCTACTGTTTTATTTCAACTGGATATGGATTGGGGTGGTTTATCAAAATGAGGATATTACAGAGGAGTTTGTAGAAAAGGTACTCCCTAGTTTTTCCCAAAAAGGGATCTGTTTCGATTTCATTGAGAGGCTTCCGAAACAAACCTTTTCTGATTATATACCTGAAAGCATTGAAGAGGGCACAAAAAAAATGAAGGTTGTTATGGAAAGCAGTGCCAAAGTAGTAGTTATTCATGGTGAAATTCATGCTCTGATGTTTTTCAGAATCATGAAAGCATATGTCGACTGGGATAATATTACAATGAAAACGAAAGCTAAAGTTTGGGTCATGACAGCCCAGATAGAATTCATATCACTACCATTTCAAAGAAATTGGGATATCAGTTTCCTCCATGGTGCCCTATCATTTGCCCTTCCTTCAAAAGAGTTGCATGGATTCCACAGATTTCTTCAAATGAGAAACCCCCTCTCAGAAAAAAAAGATGGTTTCTTGTTAGAAGTTTGGCAGCATGCTTTTACTTGCTTGTTTTCTGATGGTGAAATAGATGAAAGAGTTGAAAAACAATGCACCGGGGAAGAGAAGCTGGAGACTCTTCCTATGACTCTGTTTGGAATGAGCATCACTGGCCACAGCTACAGCATCTACAATGCTATCTATGTTATTGCACATGCTTTTCATGCCATGCACTTATCCAGCAAACAAAATACATTGGTAAAGGCAAAGAGCTTGGACCTTATCAATCAGCATCCATGGAAGGTAATGTTCTGAACCTATGATGGGAAATAGAACAATCTATGGTACAAGCAAATTACATTGGGCTAAATGTGAATAGCATAGCATAGCATAGCATAGCATAGCATAGCATAGCATAGAATAGAATAGAATAGAATAGAATAGAATAGAATAGAATAGAAGTTGGAAGGACCTTATAGGTCATCTACTCCAACCCCCCACCCAAGCAGTGGGGGGTTGGAGTAGATCATTTCTGACAGATGGCAATCCAGTCTCTTCTTGAAAGCTTCCAGTGATGGAGCTCCCATAACTTCTGAAGTCAATCTGGTCCATTGGTTGATTGTTCTCTCTGACAGAAAATTTCTCCTCATTTCTAGGTTGAATCTTTCCATGATCAGTTTCATCCATTATTCCTTGTCTGGCTTTCAGGTGTTTTGGAAAATAGGTTGATCCCCTCCTCTCTGTGACAGCCCCTCAAATATTGGAACACTGCTATTATGTCTCACCTGGTCCTTCTCTTCACTAGACTAGCCATGCCCAGTTCCTGTAACCGTTCTTCATACATTTTAGCCTCCAGTCCCCTAATCATCTTTGTTGCTCTTCTCTGAACTTTTTCTAGAGTCTCAACATCTTTTTTATAGTGTGGTGACCAAAACTGGTTGCAGTATTCTAGGTGTGGTCTTATTAAGGCTTTATAGAGTGGTATTAGTACCTCACACGATCTTGATTGAATCCCTCTGTTAATGCAACTTAGGATTGCATTGACTTTTTTGGCTGCTGCCGCAAACTATTGATCATATTTGTTTATATATGTTTCAATGAAGATACCTCAAATGTGGCCTCTGTTAAAAATGTGTATTATTTAGTATTATTATAAGAAAATGACTAAGAGTGACATAATAGCAGTGTTCCAATATCTAAGGGACTATCACAAAGAGAGGGGGTCAACCTATTCTCCAAATCACCTGAAGGCAGAACAAGCAAAAGATGAAAACTATAAGAAGTAATAGATTGAAACATGTATAGGCTGTATTGCTGTTATCCTTGTCTTCTTCTCATTATTATCATCTTCTCATCTTTCTTACCTTTTCATCTCTCCTACTACATTCTCCTATTAGTATCTTATGATTTATCACTTGTTGTTTGTATGACACCAGCCAGATGCATGTGGCAGCAGCCAAAAAAGCTAATACAATCCTTAGTTGTATAAACAGAGACATAGAATCAAAATCCTGTGAAGTATTAGTACCATTGTATAAAGCCTTACTAAGACCACACCTGGAATATTGCACCCAGTTTTGGTCACATTACAAACATATGTTGAGATTTTGGAAGCCTGGAGACCATTATGAAGAACAGTTGCAAGAATTGGGTATGGCCAGCCTACAGAAAAGAAGACCAGTGGTTACATGATGGAAATATTCCATTATTTGAGGGGCTGCCACAATGAAGAAGGGGTCAGCTTATTTTACAGATCACCAGAAGGCAAAAGAGGAAACAATGAATGGAAACTAATCAAGGAGAGAAGCAACCTAGAATTAAGGACAAACTTCCTAACAGTGAGGACAATTAACCAGTGGAACAGCTTGATGTTCAGAAGTTGTAGGTCCTTTATCACCTGAGGTTTTTAAGAAAAGACTGGACAGTCATTTAACTGAAATGATTCATTGTTTATTATCAGTTTATGCAATTTCATTGCATGAGCCGAGTAAATAACCAACTTCCTTCTGTTCCTATGCACTCTGAATCATTCAATGATTTTTCAGGTCTGGCTTTGACTGAATTAATTCAAATAGCCTGCACTTAGAAAAGCCAAAATCAAGCCTTCCACTTTTTTAAATGTTCCAATTATAAGACATACCCAGATTTTATCTTTATCCACTTTCCCCTGCATCTTTTGTAAAAACTGACAATGTGAATTAGTATAGTATTAGTATGGTTCATCACACCATCAGCCAGATGTTTAGATTGGATCTGGCATTTTTGTGAATCTATTGAGTCCTTCCCAAGAACCTGGGATAGGCAGATGTTGTCTGATAGTGTTAAAGGTATGGTCACAGGATGTAAGCTGATTTAGGTCAAGCTGTCTTTTACAATTGACTTTGTACATTATAAAATTTGGTGATTTTTGTCAATGCCAATGGCCATGAGATGATGCTCCAACTACTACTATTAGTACTATATTTCCTTTCTTTTGCCATAGTCATTCTACTTCTGTTTGCAGATGTTTGTATGTTGAGACTCTTTTTTCCAGTACCTTATTTTCTATTCTGCTGTCTCCAATTACTGCAATATCCACTATGGAGAATTATTTTGTTTTTCACGCTTTTCTCTTTCCTCTCAACTTAGCTCCACCATTATTTGAGAAGCACCTCATTCAATAACAGTGCTGAGGAAGAGATTTCTTTTGATCAGAATGGAGAATTAGTAGGTGGTTTCAATATTTTAAATTGGATTATGTTTCCCAATCAATCTTTTCTGAGAGTTAGCATTGGTAAGATAGACACAAAGGAGTCCTCAGGCAAAATTCTTACTATCCAGGAAGATGCCATTGTGTGGCCTGGGATATTTAACCAGGTAAGTTTAAAATGCATATGAAGCTGTATAAAGTTGTTATCCACAATAGTTTAAAAAATAGTTCAATATTTCTGGACCTGCACAAATCAAATGGGTCGTGATACCCTTGAATTAAGCTGAATCCCCAATTAACTTTATTGTTAGAAGTACTGTATATTCTTTGTTTGGGAAATACCGTATATGCCGGCGCACAAGGCAACCCGGCGTATAAGACGACCCCCGTCTTTATCGCCGGGCCGCATTCCTAGAATGTTGTCTTATACGCCAGAAACTACCAGTATTTCCGGCGTATAAGACGACTCGGCGTATAAGACGACCCCCGTCTTTGGCGCCGATTTCAGCGCTCGTGGAAGTCGCCTTATATGCCGGCATTTACGGTATATAGTTTTGGTACAAATAATGTTTTGAATGGGTTGGAAGCTAAATATGACCCTTCTGAAGACAGAACCAGATGGTATGATAGTTAAAGCATCAGACTAGAAACTGGAGGATTGTAGTTCTAGTTCTGCTTTAAACACAAAATCAGAGGTGTCTGATTTTCAATCTATGATTTAGGACTTCTCAACCCTAAGAAAGATGTAACATCCAACCACTTCTGAAAAAATCTTGGCAACAAAATGGCAGGGACCTGTCCAGGTAGTCAGCAGGAATCATGACTGAGTGGAAGGAATAAAACGCAGAAGGAGGAGGAGGAGGAGGAGGAAGAGGAGGAGGAGGAGGAGGAGGAGGAGGAGGAGATCATGTTAATATAGTTCCTAGAAATTTAAAATGAAAAAAAATATATCTTATCCTTTGATAGCTTGTGTATGCCTTTAATAAATTAGGAAAGCATGATCCAAGCATGATTTCAGTACAAAATTATCCTCTGTAGAAAGAAAAGATGGATATTTTGAACCTACATTTTCAGAATTGATGGGGAGGCATGAATTATAAGGAAATTAAAAATAAATAAATAACAGACAAATGTGGTAAAGGAAAAAAAAAACCAACTGGAAGCAAGAAAGCTGCCTTTGTTAGAAAAAAAATTAACAACTCAAGAATAAAATATATTTTCCAGATCATAAAAGCCAGTTTTATTTCACAGAGTCTTCAACCCACTCAAAATGTCGTTGGAATCCGTCTTAATGGATTGTTGATGTTGTTGCTATTGTTGTTGTTATTCCGATGTCTTTAAATCCCCCAGATTTGTTTGATTTGGGTTTCATAGAAAACCTGCAAGAATAAAAACTAATAAACTTAACAGAGAATATTATCTCAGCAAAAGTAATAGAAATAAATACATATATAAATGTCTTCTAATTCTATCATCGTGTCTTCCTAAGCCATATATTGTCTAATGAGTAGCAAAATCTAAACTAACTCCGTTCTGTTTTGTTTTTTTTTCCCAGACACGGCCCCTCTCTCTCTGTAATGCCCGTTGCCATTTAGGGTATACTAAGTCCAAGAAGGAAGGGGAACAATTCTGCTGCTATAATTGCATTCCCTGTTCAAATGGGAAGATTTCAGACAAAGAAGGTAAGAAATAGCTATACATACAGGAAAGCTTGTGACCAAATTTGGGAGCATGCAGTATTTCTGTTCATCCAAAATGTACATTGCATGCCAACAAAGCTTGCTCTGAATTCCTAAGTCTTCTCTTCTCTTCTTGTAATGTATTGGCCGCAACTGTTTTAAATCACTTGCTTAATGTCTGACCTACATTGCTGTATTGTTTAAGGGTTGCTGTTACTGAAAGCCAGACTGGCTGTCTCCAAGCTGATAATGAGGTTTGGGGTGGGAAACTGTTACTTTAAACCTATTGGTTGCCACCTAGAGGCTAACTCAGTGGTTCTCAACCTTTCTAATGCCGCGACCCCATAATACAGTTCCCCATGTTGTGGTGACCCCCAACCACTTATACATCACCGGGTGCCAGGGGCGTGGCCAAAGAAAAGGGGGAAAAAATGGCGGACAGTCTTGTTTGGCAACCCCCATGAAATGGTCGTTCGACCCCAAATGGGGTCCCGACCCACAGGTTGAGAATCACTGGGCTAACTGTATAAGTAGCTGTGCAGCAACCTTAGGGCTGCTTCTGTTCTGAGTTAATAAACTTGTTTGCTGTTTCAACACTCTGCCTCGTTCAATGCCTAAAGAACCGAAGATATAACTCTTCTCTTCCTTTTCCTTCCCTTCCCCTCCCCACCCCTCCCTTCTCTTCTCTCCTCTCCTCTCTGCCCTTCTCTTCACTTCACTTTTCCTCTAATCCTGCATGCCTCCCTGCAGTATTTCCCCCTTAATTTGCTCATCCTCAACTTTTCTAAATCAGAAAAAATGCCTGCTTCCAGTGAGCTAGAATCTCCTTTAGTATCATTGTTCTTGCCATATTTTAATGTTTTGTTTTTTTAAAAAAAAATAGTTAACATTCATTTTGTAGCATTTTTACTTTTTTTGTATTAAAAGTTTTATAAACAATACAAAATAAACACCCTAACCCACCCATCCCCACCCTCCTGCCCCCCCCCACTTCCCAGAGCCGAGTACAGGGTTATAACAAACATATTAAACACAATCTAATTAAATTCAACAAATAAATTAAACTTAATCTAATTAAATTTACAGTTTATACAACAACTAAATTCATACTTAACCCTTAACTCCCTTTAAACCTTAATAAAATATTATAAACAAATCCATTTTAAACAATTATTATAAAAAACCATAATAACAATGAATAAACTAAATAATTCCAATTATAAAATACAATTAATAATTCTTATTATATTAAAATTTAATCATAAAATAAATGAAACTTTTTAGTTCCATATTTAATCTGAATATAATCTATCCATCTTCTCCATACCATAATATATCTTTCTTGTGTATGATTCTTTAAATAAGCAGAAATTTTAGCCATTTCTGCTAAATTAGAAACCTTTAATATCTATTCTTCTATTGTAGGCAACGAATCTTTCTTCCAATATTGACCTATCAATAACCTTGCTGCTGTAATTAAATTCAACATTAAAATAGTTTCTTTGACATCAAAATCCTCAAAAATCCCTAATAAAAATAGTTGAGGAGTAAACTTTATCTTCCTTTTAAAAATATTTTGAATGTTCCACCAAATCATAATCCAAAAAGCCTTAATATTTTTATAAGTCCACCAAACATGAAAATAAGTTGCATCAGTACCACCACACCTCCAACATTTGGGCTGTAAGTTAGGATACATACAAGACAGTTTTTTAGGATCCAAATGCCACCTATAAAACATTTTATAAAAATTTTCCCTCAAATTTTGAGCCTGTGTAAATTTAACATTTCTAATCCAAATAGTCTCCCATAAATCCAATAAAATCGGTTCCTGGATATTCTGAGCCCATTTAATCATGCAATCTTTTACCAAATCTGTTTCCGAATCCAATTTTATTAACTCATTATAAATTCTTTTAATATGAGCTTGTTTCTGATCTTTAATCTGAATTACCAAATTTTCATCTCCTAATGTTATTCCAACTTTCTTATCTACAGTCCACCTATCCACAATTTGTAAGTATTGGAACCATGATTGTAAAATATTTTCTTGTTTTAATACATTTTTACTTTTTACAAAGAATTTGGTGAACAAGAAAATCCACTAATAAAGAGATCATTAATAAACATATAAGTAACATAAGTGGCTTTGGTTTTATACTTTTTTCTTCATTTTCTGTATCTCTGTGAAAAGGTAGCTAGATTTAGGAGGTAACTGGAAAGTATTTCAGTATAAAAAGAGATAATTAGGATAACTATAACTCTTGATCTATTATTTCATTTAAGAAATGGTACTTTCCATTTTTTTTCTTCTTTAAACTTTCCTTTTATTTAAGGAAAGTGATTCAGCTTTGGATTACAACTGATGCAGTGGTCAGAATGCAATATTGCAGTTTAACTGCCCACAGCCAATCCTGACCGACTCAAGGCTGACTCAGCTTTCCATCCTTCCTTCCTTCTAAGATCAGAAAATGAGGACCCAGATTGTTAGGGGTCAATATGCTGACATTGTAAACCACTGAGAGAGTGCTGCAAAGCACTATGGAGTGGTATACAAGTCTAAGTGCTATTGCTAGTGCTGTACTGAAAAAGTATAATGTATCATTTTCTTTTTCAGATATAGAGGATTGTTTTGAATGCCCTGAGGATCAATACCCAAACAGATTCAAGGATGGATGCCTTCCAAAACAAATAACTTTTCTATCTTATACAGAACCTTTGGGGATCATTCTGGCGATGCTTGCTTTCTGCTTTTCTCTCTTCACAGCTTTGGTGCTTGGAATCTTCATGAAACACAAAGAAACACCCATCGTCAAAGCCAACAACCGAAGTCTCAGCTATATTCTACTGATCTCTCTCCTGTTCTCTTTCCTTTGTTCTTTGCTGTTCCTTGGCAAGCCTGAACAGTGGAAGTGCCTCCTTCGGCAAACTTCCTTTGGCATGATTTTCACCATAGCCGTTTCTTGCATATTGGCCAAAACCATCATAGTGCTTTTTGCTTTCATGGCTACCAAGCCTGGATCTCGAATGAGAAAATGGGTGGGGAAAAGATTCTCTAACTCCATTATATTTTCTTGTTCCTTTATTCAAGCCCTGATTTGTATTGTGTGGCTGGCCACCTCCCCCCCTTTCCCTGATTTTGATTTGCATTCAGTGACTGAAGAAATTATACTACAATGTAATGAAGGTTCTCCCGTCATGTTCTATTGCATCCTGGGCTTTATGGGTTTCCTAGCCACTCTCAGCTTCATTGTGGCATTTTTAACTAGGAAATTACCAAACAGTTTTAATGAAGCCAAGTTCATCACATTCAGCATGCTTGTGTTTTGCACTGTTTGGCTGACCTTTGTTCCAACCTATCTGAGCTCCAAGGGAAAATACATGGTAGCTGTGGAAATCTTCTCTATCTTAGCTTCCAGTGCTGGGTGCTTGGGCTTTATCTTTTCTCCAAAATGTTATATTATTGTGTTGAGGCCTGAGCTGAACAGCAAGAGACACCTAGTAAAAGTAAACAAGTGAGAAATCTATAATTCTAACTCAACTAGGTTTTTTTTTTCTCATGACCATATACCACCATATTTAATTTTGCTGAGTATACTAGATATTTATAAATGATTGTTTTCTTTTATATGGACCTAGTTTTCCTACAGACATTGGGCCAAAATGATGAATGAATCTGTACACTTTTATTATGTTGATTTTGGCTTCTTCCTGGTGATGTCGAACATATTAACTGTAATTTTTTTATCTTTTGTTTTTGTTGATGTAGGTCATTCAGAATCATGATGATATGAATTGGATGACTATGTACATATTTCAGTTTTGATCCCTGAGTATATCTATCCCTACTTGTCCCAGTAGTTGCACTGGAGAATAAAAACTAGACTCTCTTCCTGTAACTGTTTTTGAAACAGATCTTGTCTTTGAAAAGGGTAGACTACCTGGAACAGATTGGAGTTGATTGCAGTAGTGATGGTTAATTATGAATATTTTGGTAGTTTACTCCATATTGAGTTTATTTTATAATTATCTAGAAGCCTCTGTCATTCTGGATTTATCTAGAAACTTCTGATATCCTAGACCAGGGGTAGGCAACATCGGCTCTTTTATGACTCATGGACTTCATCTCCCAGAATTCCTGAGTCAGCTATACTCCCAGGAATTCTGAGAGTTGAAGTCCATGAATCATAAAAGAGCCGAGGTTGCCTACCCTGGCCTAGACAAATGAGCAAATTCTTTAAAGGTTTAGCTCTCAGTTCTATGATAAATATACAGACAGAAAAAGTGTTATTGATATAGATGCATACATGTCAGAGAGAAAGAGAGAGAGGGAGAGAGAGGGAGGGAGGGAGAGAGAGAGAGAGAGAGAGAGAGAGAGAGAGAGATCAGCTTTAAATAAGAACACATTGAATGGATTGTGGCACTATTACATACAAATACAGGTAGTCCTTGACTTAAAACTTGATGCTTAACAACCATTCAAAATTACGAAGGTTTTGACCCCACACACCAACACACATGCAGTCACATGACCACATTTCAGGCACTTAGCAACCAGCTCACCTTTAAAACCATTTGTAGCATCCCATAGTCATATTACTATGATTTGCAATGACTTTGCCAGTTTCTGCTTTTAAAAAATCACTCAAAAGAATAGATTCCCACTTACAGCCATGCATTCATTTAAGAGATCCTGAAAATTAAGTCATAAAAACAGATCTGGACACATGGGTACCTTGACTTATGACCATAACAATTTACAACTGGAAATCAGATCCCAAATTCAATTGCAAGTCGAGGACTATTTGTAACTCAGAAACTGGATGATTTAGGGAGTGTATAATGTTCTTGGTTTTAATCTTTATTTATACAGTATATGCAAACACACACACACACACACATATTCACACACATATGCAGAGAGAGAGAGAGAGAAAGAGAGAGAGAGAGAGAGAGAGAGAGAGAGAGAAATTTCTATATATCATTAAAAACGTCAGCAACTTTACCACCTTAAAAAAAAAAAGAACCAAAGTTGGGTTCAAATTTAGGGAACATATTCGCCTTTTCATACCCTCAAGCAACTGTATCTCTGAATAATAATTATAAGAATTCCCTCCTGTAATTATGACATTAATATTATTTCTTTCTTCAGTTCCTTGGGGAGCTTTAAAATCTATTGGAAAAATAACAAGTCAAAACTAATCAATATCAAAGTATGTTTATCAGCCAATCAGTTGAAGTAGGAAATCTATGATTCTTTATCAGTTGGATTGCAGACAATTTGCACTGAACAGACATGACTTCAGTTTGCATAGTAAGCAACCAATCAGGCTGAATAATAGTGGACAGAAAACTTGCTGAGTCTCATCACTGCTGTTTGATTCATTTTAACGAGAAGAGTTCCATGGAAGATGATAACATTGATGGTGTTTGTATTGGTGTTATTTCCACTGACAGTGTGCAAAGTTTCTAGCTTTAGATGTAATGTTAGTGAGCCTCTTCCTATTTATCATAAGTATTATAAATCTGGAGATTTCATAATGGCTGGCATTATTTCTTACACTTACCATTTTACAAGTCCTACTTCTTATAAAAAAACGCCCTTCGTCAGCAGTTTTTGGTGATTTTGTGTAAGAATCTTTATTTTCTTAATCCTTCTGTATGTGTTTTCCAATTATTTTCTAAGTGTGTTTTCTGTTGCTTTGTTTTGTGGGAAAGGAACTTTGCTGATGCAGGTTTGTTTTCATTAATTCAGTAGAAAATAATAATAATAATAATAATAATAATAACAACAACAACAACAACCCCCAGTGAGGCACTACCTTGACGTGGTTGTGGGGCTTGTGTACTCTGAGGAAGATGAGAGCTATACCAGAGGATCAACCATACTGGACAGGTCTCATCAGAGGAGTCAGACAAAGAGTGTCTCTCCCATAAAAAATATGGTGAAACGTAAATTTCAGAATGCCATACTGGCTCGAATGTCACCCGGGTTAAATATCTGAAGAACAATGATGAAGATGCACTGAAATTAGTATATCAGGAAGGCTTACTGACTACTGGAGAGACCAAACTGGCCTACAAGAAAGACCAAATGAAGAACAGAATAGAGGCATGGGAAGACAAAGCACTACATGGCCAATACATTAAAAAAATAGCTGGGAAAGCAGATATTAATAAGACCTGGCAATGGCTAAGAGAAGGAAAATTGAAGAAAGAGACCGGGGGACTAATTCTGGCTGCACAAGACCAAGCCTTAAGGACAAATGCATATAAAGTCAAAATTGAGAACACAGCAACAAACAGTAAGTGCCGCCTATGCAAAGAAGCTGAAGAAACAGTGGACCACTTGGTAAGCTGTTGCAAGAAGATTACACAGACTGACTACAAGCAGCGGCATGACAAAGTAGCAACAATGGTGCATTGGAAGATCTGCAAAAAATATCATTTGCCTGTAAGAAAAAACTGGGGGGATCATAAAATAGAGAAAGTCATAGAAAATGATAAAATTAAACTGCTCTGGGACTTCAGAATTCAAACAGACAAGCACCTGCAACATAACACCCCAGACTTAACAAGTGGCGATAAGAAAGACAAAAAAGTCTGGATAGTGGATGTGGCAGTGCCTGGAGATAGCAGAATAGAAGAGAAAGAACTGGAGAAGATAACAAAATACAAAGACCTACAAATAGAAATAGAAAGGCTGTGGCAAAAGCAAGCAAGGGTAGTACCAATAGTCATAGGCGCCTTGGGTGCAATCCCAAAACAACTGGAGCACCACTTGAACATTGGCATTGACAAATTTGCCATTAGTCAATTGCAAAAAGCGGCCTTACTAGGAACTGCTTCCATTCTGCGACGATACCTGTAATACCATCAAACATCCACATCTGCCTATCCCAGGTCCTGGGTAAGGACTCGATAGGTAGACAAAATGCCAAATCCAGTCTGAACATCTGGCTGACTGTGCGATGATCCAATAATAATAATAATAATAATAATCCCCCAGTGAGGCACTACCTTGACATGGTTGTGGGGCTTGTGTACTCTGAGGAAGATGAGAGCTATGCCAGAGGTTCAACCATACTGGACAGGTCTCATCAGAGGAGTCAGACAAAGAGTGTCTCTCCCATAAAAAATATGGTGAGACGTAAATTGCAGAATGCCATACCAGCTCAGACGTCGCCCGGGTTAACAAGGTCCGCACTAGATATCAGAGTTCCTGGATATCTGGTGAAAAATGGGTTACAGGACTCAGGACTGTTGGCTGAGCAACCAGGGCCAGCAGCTGCAGAACTACTGGAAGAAAAGGTGTTTACCCGTCGCAGATACACAGTGATGGAAAACAAAGAAATAATGATCTGTTACTACAGATCATGTCCAACAAGACGAGGATATCTAAAACGAATGCACCAGTTCTGGAAAGAACAACATCCAGAATCATAAATAACAGAACAGAGACTAGCAGATCAACGCCAATTTATAACACGAAATAAAGTATTCACAGAAACAGAATTGGACGAACTGCAAAGGTTTACCCAGGGCAAAGAAATCAAAGCTTTACCAGAAGTAATTCAGAATGTAGAGGCAAACCAGGGGGAGTTGGCAGTGAAGGAATCCAGCAGAGATATACAACTGTTCTCATTTGGAAACCAGGCACCTCTTCCTCAGGAAGAACAAAAACCTCTAACTAAAGAAATAAAAGAATTGAAACAAAGAATAACTGAGCATCTAGAACAGCACAAAAACAACAGAATAAGGCTGCATGCATTGAAGCTTGTTCCAAAGAAACAGCTAGCACAAGCATTAAAAGATGCAAATACTGCAATATCAAGTATAAGCACCAATTCACTGCAAGAAACAAACCAACTAATGTACAGCACAGCTGCAGTTATAACAGAATACCTGAGATGCAAAATCAACAAAAAAGAAAAACAAACAAACAGTGCACCAGAAAAAATGGACGGTTAGACTAGAAAATAAGATCAGCAAGTTAAGATCACATGCAAGCAAGCTAGAACAGATGAAAGAAAAGAAGCTGAAGAACAAGAAGACCAAAGAATACCTAATCAAGGAATACCACTTAGAAACAAGGAAGATCAAGGAAGCACTGGAAATAATAAAGCAACAAATAACAGCTATAGCCAGGAAAATCAGTAGATATGAAGCTCGAATTGCAAACTACAGGCAGAACCTCCAATTTCAATCCGATCAGAAACGTTTCTACCAATCCATCAATGGAGAAACTGCAAGGAATCAGTCAGTACCTGACAAGGAAGAAACAGTGCAGTTCTGGAAGCAGATATGGGATAACCCAAAGAAATACAACAAGGATGAGGCTTGGTTAAAAGAGGTGGATGCAAATAAAACAGAAGTTGAAATGAAAGAACTAGTAATAACAACAAAAATGGTAGAAAAAAGAGCAAAGAAAATCAAAAATTGGTCAGCACCAGGTGAAGATGAACTGCATGGGTTTTGGTTGAAACATCTAACTGTTATACACCCACTCATTGCCAAACAGTTCAACAATATACTACAAGGAGGAGAAATTGAAAAGTGGCTAACAACTGGGAAAACCTACCTAATAATGAAAAATCCAGCAAAAGGGGCAACACCAGGTAACTACAGGCCAATTACCTGCTTACCAACAACTTTCAAATTACTAACTGGTGTAGTAGCTGATGCAGTGCAACAGCATCTAGTTGAAAACAATCTCTTTCCACCTGAGCAGAAAGGAAACCGCCCCAATAGCAGAGGAACAAAAGATCAACTCCTAATAGACAAAATGATCTTGGAAAACTGCAAGAAAAGGAAGACCAACCTGAATGTGGCATGGATTGACTACAAAAAGGCATTTGACTCTCTGCCACATGATTGGATAATCAAGTGCCTAGAAATAACAGGAGTCAGTAGAAACATCAGAAAATTTGTGCAAAGATCGATGGCACAATGGAAGACACAGTTGCAGATCAATGGTGAGAGGCTGGGAGAGGTTAATATCAAGAGAGGAATATTTCAAGGAGATTCATTATCACCATTACTATTTGTTATTGCACTGTTTCCTCTGTCAACAATACTGAATAACTCAGGACATGGCTATCAAACATCAAAAACATCTGCCAGACTATCCCACCTCCTTTATATGGATGATCTGAAGCTGTATGGAAAAACATCATCTGAAATAGAATCGCTGCTCAACACTGTCCGTATATATAGCCAAGATATTGTAATGGAGTTTGGCTTGGACAAATGTGCCACACTTACTATCAAACAAGGAAAAATAGTGAAAACTGAAGGAATCAAGATGCCCCACGAAAATAACATTAAGAGTCTGGATGAGGAAGAGTACTACAAATACTTGGGTATCCTTCAAGCTGACAACATCAAGCACACTGAAGTCAAGAAAAAGATTAGAGGTGAATACATCAAGAGAGTGAAGAAGATCTTAAAGTCCAAACTCAATGGAGGAAATACCATAAAGGCAATCAACACCTGGGCAATCCCAGTCATTAGGTACACAGCTGGAATAGTGGACTGGACTCAAGCAGAACTAAAAGCAATGGATAGGCAGACCAGAAAAATAATGACAATGAATCATGCCCTTCATCCACGCAGTGACATTGATAGACTTTATCTACCAAGGCAAATAGGTGGGCGTGGAATGCTACAAGTACATCAGATGGTTGAAGAAGAAAAAATGGCTTTGGAAGAATATCTGAAGAACAATGATGAAGATGCACTGAAATTAGTATATCAGGAAGGCTTACTAACTACTGGAGAGACCAAACTGGCCTACAAGAAAGACCAAATGAAGAACAGAATAGAGGCATGGGAAGACAAAGCACTACATGGCCAATACATGAAAAAAATAGCTGGGAAAGCAGATAATAATAAAACCTGGCAATGGCTAAGAGCAGGAAAATTGAAGAAAGAGACCGAGGGACTAATTCTGGCTGCACAAGACCAAGCCTTAAGGACAAATGCATACAAAGTCAAAATTGAGAAGACAGCAACAGACAGTAAGTGCCGCCTATGCAAAGAAGCTGAAGAAACAGTGGACCACTTGGTAAGCTGTTGCAAGAAGATTGCACAAACAGATTACAAGCAGCGGCATGACAAAGTAGCAACAATGGTGCATTGGAAGATCTGCAAAAAATATCATTTGCCTGTAAGCAAAAACTGGTGGGATCATAAAATAGAGAAAGTTATAGAAAATGATAAAATTAAACTGCTCTGGGACTTCAGAATTCAAACAGACAAGCACCTGCAACATAACACCCCAGACTTAACAATTGTCGATAAGAAAGACAAAAAAGTCTGGATAGTGGACGTGGCAGTGCCTGGAGATAGCAGAATAGAAGAGAAAGAACTGGAGAAGATAACAAAATACAAAGACCTACAAATAGAAATAGAAAGACTGTGGCAAAAGCAAGCAAGGGTGGTACCAATAGTCATAGGTGCCTTGGGTGTAATCCCAAAACAACTGGAGCACCACTTGAACACAATTGGCATTGACAAATTCGCTATTAGTCAATTGCAAAAGGCGGCCTTATTAGGAACTGCCTCCATCCTGCGACGATATCTGTAATACCATCAAACATCCACATCTGCCTATCCCAGGTCCTGGGTAAGGACTCGATAGGTAGACAAAATGCCAAATCCAGTCTGAACATCTGGCTGACTGTGCAATGATTGATAATAATAATAATAATAGTAAAGTTGGAAGGGACCTTGGAGGTCATCTAGCCCAACCCCCTGCTCAGGCAGGAAACCCTACACCATTTCAGACAAATGGCTGTCCAGTCTCTTCTTAAAAACTTCCAGTGTTGGAGCATTTGCTGCTTCTGGAGGCAGGTTGTTCCACTGATTAATTGTTCTCACTGTCAGGAAGTTTCTCCTAGGTTGCTTCTCTCCTTGATTAGTTTCCACCCATTGCTTCTTGTCCTGCCTTCAGGTGCTTTGGAAAATAGCTTGATTCCCTCTTCTTTATGGCAGCCCCTGAGATATTGGAATACTGCTATCTTGTCCCCCCTTGTCCTAGAAATATTGGAATACTGCTATCATGTCCCTCCCCTTGTCTAGAAATAATCTAGAACATATTATCCAAAGCAGCTGAAGGCAGGACAAGAAGCAACGGGTGGAAACTAATCAAAGAGAGAAGCAACCTGGAACTAAGGAGAAACTTCCTGACAGTTAGAACAATTAACCAATGGCACAACCTGCATCCAGAAGCGGTGAATGCTCCAACACTGGAAGTTTTTAAGAAGAGACTGGACAGCCATTTGTCCAAAATGGTATATGACAGTGGTTCTCAACCTGTGGGTCGCAACCCCATTTGGGGTCGAACGACCATTTCACGGGGGTCACCAAACAACGCAGTCCGCCATTTTTTTCCCCCTTTTCCTTAGCTGTACTACTAGACTCTATTCAAGAAACTCTATTCTATTGGCATTCAAAAGCCTGCGCCCTCGCTGCCGCATGCCATGGCCGCCCAGAGCGCCTGGACCTGCCTGCCACCGCACTGAATGTGGGGCAGTGGGGCAGTGGTGGGCGCAGGGAGGGTTGCTGATGCGCGTGGGGCCTGGTGGGTGGCTTACCTCCCTTGGGCTAGGCCAGCTGGTGGCCCAGCTCGTGGTCGGCCTGCACTGTCACTGCTGCTTGCCAGCTACTTGTCGGCCGGCGCAGGGGGCGGCACCACGCATGCACAGCGGTCCCGGGCCGAGGCGGTTGCTGGGCGACAGCCCGCGTGCAGCCAAAGGAGAGGAGGTGGAGCGTGCTCGCCTCCTCCTGCCCTGCCCGCAGGGAAATACAGATAGTCCACAACTTACGACCACATGGTTGGGGTCGCGGCATTAGGAAGGTTGAGAACCACTGGGTTAGGCCCAAGAAGGTTTCTTCTCTCCAGGAATTCTTGGGGTTAAATTGGGTCGATGTTAAGTGAATATAAGTTTTCAATGCTGGCCTATGGGATTTCAATCTTGTGATGAAGTGTATTCAAAGAATCTTCTTGAATCCAGGACTTACTGCATGGACCATGCAAGGGAATGTTGGTTTATTTAATCCTTCCAGGAAACAGAGGGAAGGATATGGTTCCAAATACACAAATTTGCATACACCATGACTTTCTTAAATGATATTTCTTTCTTGGTTTTATTTAATAGTGTGAAAAAATATTTACAATTTTTAGATAAAAATTATATTCTGGAATGATATAGCACTTAACCAGAAGATAGAATGTTGTAGAATATTCCTAGAAATCCAGTTTGTGTATTTCAGATATGGATGTCTGTAGTCAATGTCCAGATGATCATTATCCAAACCCTACCCAGAATTCATGCATTCCAAAAAAGAAAACCTACTTGTCATATGGAGAACCCTTGGGCAGCACTTTGGCCAGTTTTGCTCTTTGTGCTACTTGTCTATCTGTGTTTATCCTGGGCATCTATTTTAAATACCATGACACTCCCATCGTCAAAGCCAACAACCGGAACCTGACTTATGTGCTCCTCAGTTCATTCTTCTTCTGCTTCCTCTCTGCTCTTCTCTTCATTGGCCACCCAGAGAAGCTGACTTGTTTCATTCGACAAACTGCATTTGGCATGATTTTCTCAATAGCAGTTTCTTGCATCTTGGCCAAAAGCATTGTAGTAGTTCTAGCATTTACTGCTATCAAGCCAGGGTCCAGGATGAAAAAATGGGTGGGCAAAGGATTGGCCAATTTCATCCTTCTTTCCTCCTCAATGATTCAAGTTATCATTTGTACTGTGTGGCTGGTCATCTTTCCCCCATTTCCAGATGTTGACATGCATTCAATGGCAGCAGAAATTATTGAAGAATGTAATGAAGGTTCAGCATTCATGTTTTACTGTGTCTTGGGCTTTATGGGTTTCCTGGCCATTGTCAACTTTGTAGTGGCTTTTTTGGCCAGGAGATTGCCTGACACATTTAATGAAGCCAAGTTTATTACCTTCAGCATGTTGCTATTTTGCAGTGTTTGGATGGCTTTTGTTCCAACTTACCTAAGTACCAAAGGGAAGTACATGGTGACTGTAGAAATCTTCTCCATTTTGGCCTCCAGTTTTGGGATACTGAGTTGCATCTTTTTCCCCAAATGCTACATCATTTTGCTGAAGCCAAATCTGAATACGAGGCAGCAGTTAACAAGAAAAAATAAAATCTGAACAATGTAGCTGAAATACTGTAAATTTATTAACAAAAAACCTGCAGGAAAACGGGTCTGAAGATTTCACTTTGATGTATAGGTTTCTCTGGTTTTATCTCTTATACAGTATGTGCTATTTCAACTGTTGATGCCTCTATGTAAAAGCTGACTCTTCATTTTTAGTGTTCTTTCTTGTCAGCATTTTTTGTACATGTAACCTAAAAACAAATTCTTCTAGGAGGCATTGCTATCTTGTCTGTGCAAGAAAAAAAAGATAAGATAACCTTTTAATGGTGTTAAAAAGTATGACACATCAGCTATTTTATATGCTTAATGAGGAAAATTTAAATTCTCAAATTCTGATTCCAGAACTTTTAAAGAAATTCTGACATTCTTTATTAAAAATTGTGTGTGTCTCTCTCTGTGTGTGTATGTGTGTGTGTGTGAGAGAGAGAGAGAGGGAGGGAGGGAGAGGGAGGGAGAGAGAGAGAGAGAGTATAATCTCTCTTTAGTGTAGAGATTATTTTAAGTGTGTGAGTATTTAATTTAGATCTTTATTGAAATTTATAAATAAAATTATGACACTTCAACCTCACTTTCTTTAGCCTCTTTTAGTGGTACAAACTTTTGATTATTCCTTCTATTTTTGGGAAGCTGCTCATCACTTCAAATGACAAAGAGCGAATACCTGCATGTTCCTTTGCTCATTTAACAGAAATAATTAGGTTGGTTTAGATTATCAACTGTGATGTTATATGGCTCCCTCACTGAGCAAACATTGTGTTTCAGGAGCATTTACATTTATACAGGAACTGCCATAAATCCATTAATCCTGATTTTCATTATTCCCCATCCCACTGAAACACAACACAGTCACACAGAGACAGATAAATGTAGATGCCTTTCACATGCATATTTTTCTCTTTATTTTACAACTGAGAACTCCTTGTGAGTCCATCCAAAGCATGCAGTGTGGACAATGTCTACAGAATTCAAATATATATATATATATATATATATATATATATATATATATAATCAGTCCTGAGAACAACCGACTTTTGTATGGATCTCTATTTAGTCTCTCCAAATATTCTTCTGTGTTATAAAATTGGTGCTTGAAATGACATATCTTCCTGATCATGCAATTATCTTGTAACCTGGTTTAGAAAGTGTTTAATTTTCTTTTTTATAAAAGCCCCCCCTCTCTCTCTCTCCCTCTCCCTCTCTTTCTCCCCCCCCCCTTTGGTTTAAAAACTACGTACATTTTTTCTGTCCTACAAAATTTAATTCAAATCCAGGGAACATGATCACATATTTTCAAAGTCTCAAAGAAACACTGTCACTGATTGCTAGTGATAATAGCTATATTTTCCCCATGCAATTATGAAATTAGCTATGTTGACTTCTCGGTTCCTTGGAGGATTATTAGATCTATTGGAAAAACAACAAGCCAATATTAAAATGTGTTTACTGATCATTGAAAGCTAGAGATTAAATCTATAATTCTTCCTCAGTTGGATGACACATAATTTACAGAGAACAGTCATGACTTCAGTTCTCACAGTTAGCAACCACTCAGGTTGAACAATGCTATACGGAGACCTCCTAGTCTCTGACTTTGTTTTCTAGTCAGAAGAGTTGCATGGAAGATGTAGCCCTGGTGTTGTTGGTATTCATGCTACTTCCATTGGCAGTGTGCAAGATTCCTAACTTTAGATGCAATGTTAGTGAGCCTCTTCCTATTCATCATAAGTATTATAAGTCTGGAGATCTCATAATGGCTGTAATTATTTCTCATACTTATCGGTTTTCAAATCCTACTTCCTATAAAAAGCGTCCTTCATCTGCACTCTTTGGTGACTTTGTGTAAGACATTTGATTTTCTTAATCCTGCTGCATGTGCTTTCCAGTTATATTCTACATCTGTTGCTGTGTGTTGGGAAGGGTGAGATTTTGTTGATGCAGGTTTGTTTAGTTGTTCAGTAGAAAAAAAATGAGATTTCTTTTTTAAGAATGGAGGCAGACTCCACTGTGATTCAGGGCCATATTTCTGCCTTATACTCTAAGTATTTAAAGTTATGAATGTTTCTTTTCAACATCATAATTATTTCCTTGTCCTTCCAAATTTCCATCCAGGGACATTTTGAAGGGAAGCAATTAGGAATTCTTTCTTCTGAGATGGATCTACAAATTACTATTTTCTGCTACCATACTACTGGATAATAAATATCTTTGAATTTTGAAGAGAATGTTTTAGCAAGAGTAGAAAGAAGCATGTACACACATTCTAATTTAATTTACATGTCAGTGTTGTAAATTGAATTAAGGACTTGTTTGCGAGACTAATTCTCTCATCCTAATCTTTGTGTGCTCCATGTAAATGGTCTAAAAATCTTCTACAGTGGTTGAAGAATGGAGATATTACATGGAGAAACTATTTTAAACTTGCCCTATTATCTGTAATATTTCCAATGTTAATTTGGATGTTCTGCACAACTTGAAGAATGGAGAGGAATAAGTAGCAAGGAAAAGTTCAAGGTAGCATCTTAAATACAATATTCTCAGTCTTAATCTGGGTGACTTTCATTTATTTTAGGGTAATAAAGGGAGAAAATGATAGCCATGGATCCTGTAAGTGTTATTCTTTTTCCTCTAAAAAGAAGTCAGGCAATAAGGAAATCAAAAATTCACAAAGAGTTTCCTAGAAGAAATCAGAGTAATTTTGTAACAAAATTATGGTCATGGTATTAAACATTGCAGTCACATTTGAACTCAGTTAACACTTTAACACAATAATGTGTTCCTTTGCCAAAGCTCCGTATTTTTATCTTTTCTTAATCACAGTCCAAAAAATGTGATTGAAAATAGGACTTAAAATGATGGCTCTGCCTATTTTCAGTGTTCAGCAAATCACTGAAATCTGACATGTATGGAGGTCACCATACTAAGAACGTGAGAGGCACTGATTTATTAGCTCAATCAATGAGATTTTGTGACCATTTCAACTTTGAGCACGGTACTGAAGAAGTTAGGTATACCTCTCTGAAAAAAATCTGTTCCTAAAATCATTAACTTCATTCAACTTTTTGGAGTGCTATGAAATCATGCAAAACAGTATTCCAAAAAAAGGATTATAGAAAGTTCTAGTGAAGTCCCCAGAAGTACTTGGGCTCTTCAGGTTCACTAGAAACTAGAAAAAGAGCTTCAAAAATGAAAGCATACAAAATTATTCTAACAAAAAAACACCAAGAGATATTTGGAAAATAATTTCACATGTTTTGTCTTTTAATGTGGTTGAAGCATATTAGCATTCTGAAAAAAACTCTTTAGAGAAGTCATAAGGACAAAGACCAAGCAATTTAATTTCAAATAAGAGATCATTTTTAAGCTATTGATTTTTCTCATTGTAGAGTCATGAAGCAGAACTACCAACATATCTTGACTTTGGAATTTGCTTTAAAGGACATCAATGACAACACCCAACTCTTACCTAACATCACTCTGGGTTTCCATATCTACAATAATGATTTCAGTGCCAGTGTAATTTATCTTGCTTCTATGGAACTTCTGTCCACAAAAGACAAATTCTTTCCAAATTACAAATGTGATGCTCAAAATAATCTGGTAGCAGTCATTGGGGGACCTAACTCTGATGTCTGTCTCAACATGGCAACAATTCTCTGCATGTACAAGATCCCACAGGTAGGCAGTGTGAATATACCTTAAGAACTTAAAAAGGGAGAGCACCATCTCTAAAATTTGAGGCATTTTTCTGACCAAGTTATGGAACAAAGTGAACAAAATAGATAAAAATCCAAAGACTTAACTTAAATAGAACTCTTCATTCTGGGAAAGAATTTATGAATTCCATTTTGAGCTGTCTGTTGATTTCTTCATTGAGGTAGATCATGTCATGTGAAGAGGAAATATACAAGATTTGATAGCCACCTTCATGTAAATAAATTCATACAATCTGATATGGGGGAGAAGAAACTCTTGCCTTACATAAGAAAATGGTAAAAATTGATGCATTAGGATTTTTTTTGCAATTTGAAACCCAGATCCAGAAAAAATTGAATTGTGAACAATAACAGAAGAATGAAAAATAGAACAAAAGAATTTATTCATCAGCATCAGCAACATATATGGACAACACCCATACTTGGAGGTTTTTTTGTTTTGTTTTGGAAACATCTTTTCCAATATTCTCTTTTCATTTAGCTCACATATGGCTCTGCTCTATTGATGGAGAAACAAACTGAAGGAGTTTTTTTTCAGCAGATGTTCCCAAGTGTGGCACTCCAGTATGAGGGTATTCTAAGGTTATTGCTATATTTCAACTGGAGATGGGTTGGAGTGGTTTATCTGAATGATGTTAATGGAGAGAGATTTGTCCAGGAAGTGCTCCCTACATTCTCCAAAAGAGGCATCTGCTTTGACATCATACAAAGATTCCCTCAGCTAACTTTTTCTGTATTTGCTGATCAAATGGTGAAGGAAGGTTTTGAAACATTCTTGGGTATCATGAAAAGCTCTGCAAATGTATTGATTGTACATGGTGAAATCCAGACCATCATTATTTTGAGAATGGTACTTCATTTCTCGGAATTTGAGAATATACCAATGGTAACTAAGGTCTGGATTATGACAGCTCAAATGGATTTCACATCAATTCCCTTTCAAAATGATTGGAATTTAGATTTCATCCATGGTGCTGTGTCACTTGCAATGCACAAAAAGGAACTGTCTGGCTTCCAGAACTTTGTCCATGACCAAAATCCTAAAGGGAAAAGAGAAGATGGTTTCATTAAAGCTTTTTGGGAACAAGCTTTTAATTGTGTGTTCCCTGTTTCTCTGGCAGACCAAGAAGAAAGCACAATCTGCACTGGGGAAGAAAAATTAGACTCTCTTCCTGCATCTGTTTTTGAAACAAGCTTGACTGCTCACAGCTACAGCATCCACAATGCTATCCATGCTGTAGCTCATGCTCTGCATGTTATGCATTCAACCAAGTCC